GCGTCTGGTATATCCGGCATTTGTTATATATAGGACACATAGGCTTCTACATCACCTCTGGACAGTTGGGCCGCGTCTGGTATAACCGGCATTTGTTATATATAGGACAGATAGGCTTCTACATCACCTCTGGACAGTTGGGCCGCGTCTAGTATAACCGGCATATGTTATATATAGGACAGATAGGCTTCTACATCACCTCTGGACAGTTGGGCCGCGTCTAGTGTAACCGGCATATGTTATATATAGGACAGATAGGCTTCTACATCACCTCTGGACAGTTGGGCCGCGTCTGGTATATCCGGCATTTGTTATGTATAGGACACATAGGCTTCTACATCACCTCTGGACAGTTGGGCCGCGTCTGGTATATCCGGCATTTGTTATATATAGGACACATAGGCTTCTACATCACCTCTGGACAGTTGGGCCGCGTCTGGTATATCCGGCATTTGTTATATATAGGACACATAGGCTTCTACATCACCTCTGGACAGTTGGGCCGCGTCTGATATAACCGGCATTTGTTATATATAGGACACATAGGCTTCTACATCACCTCTGGACAGTTGGGCCGCGTCTGATATAACCGGCATTTGTTATATATAGGACAGATAGGCTTCTACATTACCTCTGGACAGTTGGGCCGCGTCTGATATAACCGGCATTTGTTATATATAGGACAGATAGGCTTCTACATCACCTCTGGACAGTAGGGCCGCGTCTCGTATAACCAGCATTTGTTATATATAGGACAGATAGGCTTCTACATCACCTCTGGACAGTTGGGCCGCGTCTGGTATAACCGGCATATGTTATATATAGGACAGATAGGCTTCTACATCACCTCTGGACAGTTGGGCCGCGTTTGGTATAACCGGCATTTGTTATATATAGGACAGATAGGCTTCTACATCACCTCTGGACAGTTGGGCCGCGTCTGATATAACCGGCATTTGTTATATATAGGACAGATAGGCTTCTACATCACCTCTGGACAGTAGGGCCGCGTGTGGTATAACCGGCATTTGTTATATATAGGACAGATAGGCTTCTACATCACCTCTGGACAGTTGGGCCGCGTCTGATATAACCGGCATATGTTATATATAGGACAGATAGGCTTCTACATCACATCTGGACAGTTGGGCCGCGTCTGATATAACCGGCATATGTTATATATAGGACAGATAGGCTTCTACATCACCTCTGGACAGTTGGGCCGCGTCTGATATAACCGGCATATGTTATATATAGGACAGATAGGCTTCTACATCACCTCTGGACAGTAGGGCCGCGTCTGATATAACCGGCATTTGTTATATATAGGACAGATAGGCTTCTACATCACATCTGGACAGTTGGGCCGCGTCTGATATAACCGGCATTTGTTATATATAGGACAGATAGGCTTCTACATCACCTCTGGACAGTAGGGCCGCGTCTGGTATAACCGGCATTTGTTATATATGGGACAGATAGGCTTCTACATCACCTCTGGACAGTTGGGCCGCGTCTGGTATAACCGGCATATGTTATATATAGGACAGATAGGCTTCTACATCACCTCTGGACAGTAGGGCCGCGTCTGGTATAACCGGCATTTGTTATATATAGGACAGATAGGCTTCTACATCACCTCTGGACAGTTGGGCCGCGTCTGGTATAACCGGCATATGTTATATATAGGACAGATAGGCTTCTACATCACCTCTGGACAGTTGGGCCGCGTCTGGTATAACCGGCATATGTTATATATAGGACAGATAGGCTTCTACATCACCTCTGGACAGTTGGGCCGCGTCTGGTATAACCGGCATTTGTTATATATAGGACAGATAGGCTTCTACATCACCTCTGGACAGTTGGGCCGCGTCTGATATAACCGGCATTTGTTATATATAGGACAGATAGGCTTCTACATCACATCTGGACAGTTGGGCCGCGTCTGATATAACCGGCATTTGTTATATATAGGACAGATAGGCTTCTACATCACCTCTGGACAGTTGGGCCGCGTCTAGTATAACCGGCATATGTTATATATAGGACAGATAGGCTTCTACATCACCTCTGGACAGTTGGGCCGCGTCTAGTATAACCGGCATATGTTATATATAGGACAGATAGGCTTCTACATCACCTCTGGACAGTTGGGCCGCGTCTGGTATATCCGGCATTTGTTATATATAGGACACATAGGCTTCTACATCACCTCTGGACAGTTGGGCCGCGTCTGGTATAACCGGCATTTGTTATATATAGGACAGATAGGCTTCTACATCACCTCCGGACAGTTGGGCCGCGTCTAGTATAACCGGCATATGTTATATATAGGACAGATAGGCTTCTACATCACCTCTGGACAGTTGGGCCGCGTCTAGTGTAACCGGCATATGTTATATATAGGACAGATAGGCTTCTACATCACCTCTGGACAGTTGGGCCGCGTCTGGTATATCCGGCATTTGTTATATATAGGACACATAGGCTTCTACATCACCTCTGGACAGTTGGGCCGCGTCTGGTATATCCGGCATTTGTTATATATAGGACACATAGGCTTCTACATCACCTCTGGACAGTTGGGCCGCGTCTGATATAACCGGCATTTGTTATATATAGGACACATAGGCTTCTACATCACCTCTGGACAGTTGGGCCGCGTCTGATATAACCGGCATTTGTTATATATAGGACACATAGGCTTCTACATCACCTCTGGACAGTTGGGCCGCGTCTGATATAACCGGCATTTGTTATATATAGGACAGATAGGCTTCTACATTACCTCTGGACAGTTGGGCCGCGTCTGATATAACCGGCATTTGTTATATATAGGACAGATAGGCTTCTACATCACCTCTGGACAGTTGGGCCGCGTCTGATATAACCGGCATTGTTATATATATGACAGATAGGCTTCTACATCACCTCTGGAAAGTTGGGCCGCGTCTGATATATCCGTCATATGTTATATATAGGACAGATAGGCTTCTGCATCACCTCTGGACAGTTGGGCCGCGTCTGGTATATCCGGCATTTGTTATATACTGAGTCAAAAAAGAAACTTCACATTCTTTCTTCAGGGCACTATCAAAGAACAAGAGATGGTAAGATGGTTAAATTGTTATTATTTCATTGCTGAGATCAGTGTGATGTACTCGATACACTGACAGTGCCATAATCAGTTCCATTAGGCTACACCGCCGTTCTAAAACATGGGTATACAGAATGTCAAGTCACAAGAATAAAAATGCGAAATTTCTCAGTTCAATATCGTGTATGGCCGCCCCGCGCATTCACCACTGCCAAACACCGTCTCCTCATCGACTGCCTGATGCTTGTGAACACGTGGTTGGGGATTCTGCGCCATTGCTCTTGCAAGGCAGCGCCAAGTTCCTGCAAATTCTGAGGTTGGTTCCTAAGACCACGAAGCCTTCTCCCAAGTGCATCCCAAACGTGCTCTATTGGATTAAGGTCAGGGGACCTCGATGGCCAGTCCATGACGTTGATTCCAGCGTTTTGAAGGAAATTTCGTGTCAACATCGCGGTATGCGGCCGAGCATTATCATGCTGGAACTGTAGACCTGGGCCATGAGCCGCCATGAAAGGAACGGGTTCAGGGGTGAGCACCTGGTCGCGGTAAGCAGCAGCCGTGAGGTTTCCACGGATGACCAGAAGTCGGGAACGGTTGTTCCCACAGAAAGCACCCCACACCATGCAACTTCCGCCCCCGAATCTGTCGACTTCCTGTACACAACATTGGGCATACCGTTCACGACGTCGTCGCCAGACTCTATGCCTGCCGTCCGCGAAACTGAGGGTAAACCTGGATTCATCGCTAAAGAAGACTCGATTCCAGTCTCTCTGGGTCCATCGGGGGTGACGTTGGGCCCACAGCAGACGTTGACGTTGATGAAACGGCGTCAATATTGGCCCACGATATGGACGTCGAGAATGGAGATTGGCAGCCCGCAACCGATTTCGAATGGTCTGTGAGGACAGTCGACCTCTAAACATCTCAGCCCTGGTTCGTGTAGCCGGCAGAAATCTGTCACGTAGGTGACGTAGGACGATTTGACGGTCTTCTGCTCGTGACGTCACACGTGGACGACCCGACCTTGGGCGATCAGAAGTGGTGCCAGTTTGTTGTAGACGACCTCGCGAGTCATACACAGTACGACGGCTGCATCCCATTGCTCTTGCGACGTCAATAACTGATCTTCCCGCTTGCAACATGCCAACGGCACGTTCACGTTGCACATTTGACAATCGTGGCATTTCAAGTACCGTTAGAACTGTGGTTTAAAAGTGTTTTTTTCAATTCTTGAGGCCAATGCAAACACGTCATATGAAGAAAACCTCGATGCGAAGTTCACGTGATCGACTGCACGTGCAAAACCTGATTTGGCACTAACGTCATTTGCACGAGGAATGGATGGGTTTGAGTGGGTTTTGCTAACGTTTTTCTAGAGTCGAAAGATAGGGGTCTCATTTCGGATACATAGATGTATCATCAGAGAAAAATTATTCATTATTTTTCAAATTACATTTTGTGAAGTTTCTTTTTTGACTCTATTTATATAGGACAGATAGGCTTCTACATCCCCAACAAATAAATACAAGCAGCAAGTAATACCCTTCGCGAGATAATATTTTGGAAGGGGATTGATCATAATTACTATCTTGAATGCATGTTTATTGTTTCTACACGTGTTGGAATATACAAGTTCAGTTCAGTTTGTGAACATGAACCAAAATTGTTACATTTGTGTCTACGTCTTTCTTGTACACGTTTCGATTGTGTACACTTGATATCGATACTTTCAGTTATATTGAGAAACATTCTTGTAAATGAGCTCTGGCCTCATATCCGGTTATCAATATACATTTAAGGACCAAAATTCTAATATATTTACTCACATGTATATGGTCCCTCTAAGGTTTATTTAAAAATGAAACATTCAAAAAGTCATCACGTAAAAGACGGAAGTTACCTCAAAGTGAATCCACTTATAGAGATCCAAATTCACACTGAGAAAATCCGCATAGCTCATCTCACGAAGTCCACTGGAACATATGTACATCAGCGTACGATGAAACGGCAGCCCCACTTCCAGTGAAAGGGAGGGGGAAGGGGGCAGTGGGGTAGTCTGGTGGTTAAAGCCTTCGCTCGTCACGCCGACCCGGGTTCGTATGGTGGCTGATTAGGGTCATCGCTTTCTCGCCTTAAAATTCGGAGGCGAGAAAGCGAGAAAGCGATATCACGAGACGAGAAAGCGATATCACGAGACGAGAAAGCGATATCACGAGACGAGAAAGCGATAACACGAGACGAGAAAGCGATAGCGCGAGACGAGAAAGCGATAACGCGAGACGAGAAAGCGATAACACGAGACGAGAAAGCGATAGCACGAGACGAGAAAGCGATATCATTGCGCGAGAAAGCGATAAAGCGAGAAAGCGATAAAGCGATAGAGCGAGAAAGCGAGAAAGCGATATTACCCACAATTCATTGCTGTCTGCGCATGATCGACTACAAACGGGAGCTCAGTCGCCATCGTAATTTCTGGATAGTATTAAATGGTTTTCAGTAATGTTCTTGCCCACGAATGGCGGTGTATGACTTGACGTTTAGAAAATATCTAACAGAGATGTAGACTTTCCTTTGACATGCAATTTGCACGTATGCAATAGTCATATCGTGAAATAACGGAAACGTTCATTTTGTGATGTGACTTTAGGAATTACATATTTTTTGACATAAGTAACTGGATTCGAATTGTCTTAACCAACTTAATCACACCAACCAATTGAATTGTTTCTTTGATGGGCATTTTAGATGTTGAGTTGATGAAGAATAATGACAATTATATTGGATATACAACTTCTTTTATTCTGTGGAGGCGACGTTTCGACATAGATTCTAATGTCGTTGTCAAGCAAGTGATACATGAGTAACAAATTGAGAGAATTTATTCATGAGTTTTTATTACAGTAGATAGGGAATGAGTTGTTTATACATTAAATGAGGTTGATGTACAACGCTTGTAGAAGAGATTGAGTAAGTTGATTGGAAGCCAGAAGGGTGATATACAAGGTCTGAATTAGAATTTATAGGAGGCCAGGTGGATGTATATACAAAAAATGGGTTTGATGTACATAGTTGAATTGAAACAGATAATGTACACAAGAAATATTATTGATTACTTTAACAAGTGATGGTAGGCATTGGGAATGTACTATCCTTCATCTCTGTTGAGAGCGGATCGTATCTTCTTGATGTGTACTGCTTCCAAAAGTTTCCGAATTTTCTAGTCCGACTGGTTCTTTTCTATGGTTTTCTTTGAATTATGATGTTGTGTGAGAAATGTGTTGGAAGTGCCAGATGAACGGGAGGGACCTATGACAAATGAAGCATTGTGACGAGTATATTTTCATGGCGATTTCCACCATGAGTGGCCAGCACTAAGACAATCAACCACATCCCAACCATCATCCTAAAATAAAATCACTGAGTGAGTGTGTGAATTGAAATATATGTCGCCTAAGAGCAATATTCATGTTTTAGGTTCATTGTTGATGGTTTTGTGACGCCATATTGTACGCCATCAGTTCAATTCCAACTTAATGGAATGGTGAGTTACACTTACATTTCAAACAAATTGGAGCTTGCGTTTCTTTTGCAGCTCAGTTTATTACATATACATCACATTCAGAATGTTTTGAAATATGTGACACTATAAATGAGCCGTATGTAGACAATTCAAAAATAATTATCAGTTCTCGCTGTTTGGTTATAGGTGGAGGAATTAGAAATGAGGCATGGGAACTTAACCGTTTATGTTTATGTCACTTTATTGTATTTCAGGGTGATCAAAACACAGCTGTAGTTTCTTTGAATTAAAAAAGACGATGAAATTTATTAACTGAAGAACTTCACCTACATGAACCCAATTCGCTCCTACCCAAAGATAGAGGAGATGCACGTGACAGTAAAGCACCTCGGTACCTCAATGTAGTAACAGAACCATTCCACAGTCAATGGTGTAATCAAAGCAAATAAAAAGATGCAGTCAAACGTTCGTCTAATCAAAGCTGAAAATAGTACGCAGTTAAACGCTGGTCTAGCCATATATAGTGAACTTCTTTGGATGGCATTTAGAAGTTGGTGTGCTTAACAACGGGGAAAGTTATATGGATATACAACTCCTTTATTATAATGTAAGCGACATTTTGGTCCGCCAATTTCAAACCTGTTCTGCCATCAAAATATCTATCAAAACCCATCTTTTCCGCCATGTTTTCTTCTGACAAAAGTTAGATAATAGACATGTTATACCAACAACTGGTTTTCTACAATATATTGTTACCCTCCGCCGCCATTTTGACTGTGTGTAATAATTGATGTGTGTGATATGTACTCTTATACCACCATTGGTGGTCTATTGAGAATAAAAGTAAAGTAAAGGCTACAGCTGGACGTGGTCGCATAGGTTTTGAAAAAGTGATTGGTTACGCGTGTATCCAATTAACCTTTCGTAACATTTTCGTTTCCAGAGGAGGACTTGAAACTCGTTCAATATATGGAACTATCTACCTGTATCATCTTGTTTATAACTTGGTCAACTCATGTCAAAACGATTCAAATCGAATGAGAGCAATAGGTGACATTCACTGGGATGCAGACAAATGAGAAAAGGGCGTCAAATCTGCCTGATTTTACGATATATAAATGAACAGATTCAAGAATCTGCATATTTACAGGTGCAGTTGCATGGGCATTTCCGAATAGTACTGAGTCTAATGTATATCCTTTTTGGTAAAAGTACATGTTATTTCGAGTTACAGTATATATTGGACAAGTAAAGAAAAAGTGAAAACTATCCTCATTTTGCTAGTCCACATGAGCATATCGGACTTTCTAAAATGTATCTTTCATATTTGTGAGCATTGAGGTCACTGCAGCCAAATAAACCCTCCTACACATCTACAAAACATTTATCATGTACACACTGGAGTGAGTGGTTCCCGTCCTTCTCTATCCCCAGCTAAACTCCTTACAATATATAAAAAATGCCATAGGTGCAAAGACTAGTACCTACTAGATAGCAGTTACTAGAAGAAACCAAATTACTCAATAACTACCAGACTGGGTCTGAAAACAAAATATCAAAACACCAAACAAAAAAGGCAGGCCCTTAAATTCAGAATAAACCCTTTAAAACATCCCTATCCAGCCACACATTACAGTGTAAACTCGATTATCCAGACTAAGTCACAATGTCAAGGCCACACACCGCACGTTTTACAACCAAAACATAAACACCGTACCCTGCCTCCCCAGCCCTACTTTTTAACATTTAACCCCTTTTCATCTATTTAGTAGACTCCTTATTAGCTTATCAGCAACAGTTGAACTGTTCTGCACAATAAGTCACAATATACTTTACACTACTTACTTAGTTGAACTTATACGCAATCAAGTTCCCAACCCTCTTACGTCCAACTTCTCAACTCCCCATCTAAACTAAATTATTTTCAATATACAGGTGTTTTATGATATAGTGCTTTATTCCCCAAGTAATAATTATATTACGTTTTTGTTAAACACACCTATCACGTCGGTCGATGACTTGTGGCACTGTCTCAAGTAGATAGTTGGGATATGGGGACAGACAGACATATAAGTATGTAGACAAGCCATTCTTGTAGAAGTATGGGAGACGATGGCACATACATTTAGAACAATACCTTTTTCACATAATAGTGGAAATATATATGTGTGAAATAGGCACACATAAAAAGACCAGATGAAAGGCACAGGGTGTATGAAATTCCATCACTAATACAATAAGCCCGACGGGAAGTTCGTTTGGTTGGTTTGTTGTTTAACACCGGACTGAAACACGATGTTACGGAGTATATTCTTATCCTTCATCAGGTAAATGAAGAGACTAGAAACTAGGAAGAGAAAGCTAAAGACGGTCATTTGAAACAACAGTGATAAGATAACAAGGGAAGCCAGTACTTAATTAGCGCTAAATTGGTAGGGTGGATGGACAAATGGAAGCCAGGGATTGTTAATCCCGGCATGAATAATGAGATAACAATGGTAGCATTTAACAAGGGAAATGACAATAAAGAAATGCAAGCCAGGAATTAATCCAAGCCTAATTAGTGATGTAACAATAAATTAAATGATTGTTATCCTTTTTACAGACTTTTTAAGAGCACTCATATATTTCAACGAAAACACACTCGGTTTCTGGAGTTATTGTTGGATTATTGTTTGGACAAGTTGAAGGATTAATTAGAAAAATGCCACAGAATTTGAAAGCATGTTCATGTTGTTTCTATACGACTAAACCAAATGAAAATAAAGCCTCCTGTTGGATTAAATCATACGCAGGTTAGACGTCATGTGCAGACAGGGCAGAATTATGTGAAATATCGCTTTCTCGCTCTATCGCTTTCTCGCTCTATCGCTTTCTCGCTTAATCGCTTTCTCGCTCTATCGCTTTCTCGCTCTATCGCTTTCTCGCTCTATCGCTTTCTCGCTTTCTCGCTTTCTTGCTTTCTCGCTTTCTCGCTTTCTCGCTTTTTCGCTCTATCGCTTTCTCGCTATATCGCTTTCTCGCCTTGGTATATCGCTTTCTCGCTCTATCGCTTTCTCGCTTTATCGCGTAATGGTATCGCTTTCTCGTCTCGTGCTATCGCTTTCTCGTCTCGCGTTATCGCTTTCTCGTCTCGCGTTATCGCTTTTCGTCTCGCGCTATCGCTTTCTCGTCTCGCGTTATCGCTTTCTCGTCTCGTGCTATCGCTTTCGTCTCGTGTTATCGCTTTCTCGTCTCGTGATATCAGTTTTTCGCTTTCTCGCCTCCGAATTTTAAGGCGAGAAAGCGATGGCCCTAATCAGCCACCATAGGATCGATCCACAGACATTCTCTCGGGGTAAATGCTCTGTGTACTAGACCAGGAAGACAGGCACCTTGCTCTTTGAAACATGTATGTGAAGTCTATCAAAACTGTGTTTAACTGGCAGGAAGGTGGGAAGGGTCATGGTTTAATGACCACAGGGAACACAGCTGCCTTGTTAAAGCGGCATGTTTCATTACCAATTATTAATGTAGGGTTAGATGTTACTATTCACAATTTCTAAAATGCCACTCAAAGAACTTAAGATGTTATTATTGTATAATACTTGTATAAGTACCTTGTAAAACTATGTATCCCTGGATATGGACAGTTATATCCCCCAGCTTCAAATCTCCGCCTTGATGTACTTGTATAAGTACCTTGTAATGTATCACTGTATATAGACCATGTTGTATACATAGCTGATGGCCCACACCATTGTACCGAAATAAAGAACTGACGACCAAAGTTATCAGCCCTACAAAATGACTACAGTTTCCCGTTCTTATTGCGTTGCTATTTGCCATTATTTATTCCTTGAGAGTCAATTTATTGAGATAGTAAGTTAAATGTAGGTTTGAATAAGTTCGTTTGGTGTGGTTAATGGTAGCGTATATTGATACTGTGAAACATATGGGGTGTTGCGATAAATTTTTCGATGTGTATACTATATATCTGGTAGAGCGTGGTTTAGTTGACAGGTGTTGCCCTAAACTGAATTTTTATTTGTCTGAGCAATATGCTAACTGTGGCATCTGAATCGTCTAAATGTCGATTGTGGGCCAGATAATCCAGTGGTGGGATCATGGCACACTGACATCTGCATCTCTGGACCGGACCGTCCGTAGGCTTCACTGACCGATGCAGGTTTGCCTTATTTATGAGAGAACGTCCGTTACAACGGAATATTCTAAACGGATGTGCATAAAATACGTTTGCGCCTTAGTGATCGACTTACTTTCTTGAATTCAGGATGGTCCTTGATCCAGTTTGTTTGTTAATTATAACAGTTGCTGTAGGGCAACCAGATCCTTCACAAACTATGACGTTTTTAGTGTCAACGCAATTAGTTTTAAAATCCTCCATTAGAAACCTGTAACAGAATGTAACGTCAATGTAGATGTCGCAGTGATTGCAACCTTACAACTGAAGATAATTAAAGTTTCTGTGTAGGTACAACCCGTCAGCACCACACAATAATCAACAAGGAAGAGTGGTAAAATACAACGGACATGACCGGACCTTCGCCATCAGTGATGGCATCCGGTGGGGAGAGCACTCAACAGGCAAAACCGATATTGCTGGATAGGCCGAGGATATCGAGCGCCATCATTGTTACATTGGGGAGGGCACTCGACAGACAAAACCGATATTGCTGGATAGGCCACGGATATCAAGCGCCATCATTGTTACATTGGGGAGGGCACTCGACAGACAAAACCGATATTGCTGGAAAGGCCACGGATACCAAGCGCCATCATTGTTACATTGGGGAGGGCACTCGACAGACAAAACCGATATTGCTGGAAAGGCCACGGATACCAGTCGCCATCATTGTTACATTGGGGAGGGCACTCGACAGACAAAACCGATATTGCTGGAAAGGCCACGGATACCAGTCGCCATCATTGTTACATTGGGGAGGGCACTCGACAGACAAAACCGATATTGCTGGATAGGCCACGGATACCAAGCGCCATCATTGTTACATTGGGGAGGGCACTCGACAGACAAAACCGATATTGCTGGATAGGCCACGGATACCAAGCGCCATCATTGTTACATTGGGAAGGGCACTCGACAGACAAAACCGATATTGCTGGATAGGCCACGGATATCGAGCGCCATCATTGTTACATTGGGGAGGGCACTCGACAGACAAAACCGATATAGCTGGATAGGCCACGGATATCGAGCGCCATCATTGTTACATTGGGGAGGGCACTCGACAGTCAAAACCGATATTGCTGGATAGGCCACGGATACCAAGCGCCATCATTGTTACATCCGGGAGGGCACTCGACAGACAAAACCGATATTGCTGGAAAGGCCTCGGATACCAGTCGCCATCATTGTTACATTGGGGAGGGCACTCAACAGGCAAAACCGATATTGCTGGATAGGCCACGGATACCAAGCGCCATCAGTGTTACATTTGGGAGGGCACTCGACAGACATAGAGATTTCGATATTATCCTGTCAGTAGTTAAACAGTGACTAAGGAAAACACCACATTTTTGCTTTAAAAATGGCATAACATGTCTGTATGTGTGTATGTATGCGTGTTCTTGCGTGTGTGTGAGCGTCAAACTGTTATTTGGTATACGTCTCTCTGCCCCGTGTGTTTATCCTGCATTATAGCTATGTAGTTGACATTGTTCGACCAATACCACCGTGCCTTGAACACAACTGGGATGATATGGACCACACTATACAGTATACACTTTCGTACTGATTAAACTGATAACTGCTAGTTTCATCGATGTCATTCTACCTTGAATATGATTTCGAGCGTACAAAACAAATGATTTTGACAAACTGCATCGTTTCATATAAAAACAGTCAGATTGTACTGATCAATATTGGTAACGTATTGATCCAAGCAGTCACAAATGGAATGGTTTGAACTGGTCAGGTAGAGCTGAAATAATCAATTTGGCCCACCAGGATCATATCGTCAGGGCTAGGTTTTGTCAACGTACAGGTAATCAGCACGTCCGTGCTTTAGGGATAAACACATTAGGCAGAACCCGCATAACAGTAACCAATAGTGATACCATTTACATGTTTTAATTCCTGAATAACAATTTGCTAAAAATATCGCGTTCAATGATATACTATTCCGTATATATAAAGCGTGTATTTTGTCATGCTCTATCAAAGTCTGAGGAAAATGTGTTCGAATACAAAACCGGGTGTAATTGTGGTCCTTTGTCTTTCGGTTGTACTGCATGAAACAGACACGTCATATGTATTACTTTTTAAACAGTTTGGGGGTTTGGATTAGTGAGGCCTTTTTAAATCTTATTAAGTCCTATTATAAGTTAAACAGTCTTAATGAGAAATGTCCTGACTAACTTACCGCTGTTCTGCCCTGTCCGTTATTGTACCCATGAACTCCGCATCTTCACCAAGCATCGACAGAACGGTGGCTGTAGTGGAGGCATTTCCACCTCGCTGCCACTTAGACTCCACACACCTTCACGTCAACAAAGACAGAACATTCAGTCACGTTGTGTGTAGATACAGTCAATATACTAACACTTGGACTCCACACACCTTCACGTCAACAAGAACAGAACATACAGTCACGTTGTGTGTAGATACAGTCAATATACTAACACTTGGACTCCACACACCTTCACGTCAACAAGAACAGAACATACAGTCATGTTGTGTGTAGATACAGTCAATATACTAACACTTGGACTCCACACACCTTCACGTCAACAAAGACAGAACATTCAGTCATGTTGTGTGTAGATACAGTCAATATACTAACACTTGGACTCCACACACCTTCACGTCAACAAGAACAGAACATACAGTCACGTTGTGTGTAGATACAGTCAATATACTAACACTTGGACTCCACACACCTTCACGTCAACAAAGACAGAACATTCAGTCATGTTGTGTGTAGATACAGTCAATATACTAACACTTGGACTCCACACACCTTCACGTCAACAAGAACAGAACATACAGTCACAGAACATTGTTGTGTGTAGATACAGTCAATATACTAACACTTGACTCCACACACCTTCACGTCAACAAAGACAGAACATTCAGTCACGTTGTGTGTAGATACAGTCAATATACTAACACTTGGACTCCACACACCTTCACGTCAACAAAGACAGAACATTCAGTCATGTTGTGTGTAGATACAGTCAATATACTAACACTTGGACTCCACACACCTTCACGTCAACAAAGACAGAACATTCAGTCATGTTGTGTGTAGATACAGTCAATATACTAACACTTGGACTCCACACACCTTCACGTCAACAAGAACAGAACATACAGTCATGTTGTGTGTAGATACAGTCAATATACTAACACTTGGACTCCACACACCTTCACGTCAACAAGAACAGAACATTCAGTCATGTTGTGTGTAGATACAGTCAATATACTAACACTTGGACTCCACACACCTTCACGTCAACAAGAACAGAACATACAGTCATGTTGTGTGTAGATACAGTCAATATACTAACACTTGGACTCCACACACCTTCACGTCAACAAGAACAGAACATTCAGTCATGTTGTGTGTAAATACAGTCAATATACTGACGTTGCATGGTGATATGTCGTGTATGTAAACATGTAAGTGCCTACCTCTGACCAGTGTCTTCAGCAGGGTATGTTTCCACAACAAGAATAGAATCCACACAGACAAGACCCACGCACAGGATTGCGTTCTTTTCTGAGGTCATCTAAATCAACAAAATTCGAGAAACGAGACATTTGAAATGTCCTCCGCTTGTCTATCAAAACATTTTCGAAAGCTTTCCTAAAGACCTAAATGTTGTAACCTCTGAACAAGAGTCCCAAGAGGTTCTTTAAAATCTGTCATATCTTGATTGTACCTCAAAAGTCGTGAAATGTAAACAGCATGAAGGGAAGTTGACTGTTGGAAAGTTGAAATCATCCATTTTGTCATAAAGCGTTGTGGAAAATTTGTTGTCAATCTGAATGTTTATGCATAGATCTAAACTCAACAGTGAACATGTTTATCAACGTGTGTACAAGTAGATGAAGAACTATTTCCAGGACAATGACGGTATCCTAGGGTCACCCACAAAGTGACCCCGACTTTATATTTTAATGAAACTAGCCTATCCTCCAATGGCGATGATAGTAACAGTGATAATAACAGTGGAAGTCTCACTCTCTGTATGCGCTGCCTTAGAAGGGGTCAAGGGCCCTGAGCTGATGATGATCTCAACCAGCCTGACTGTGCCAGGATCACCTGAACCCTCTTTGATCTATGTATTAATATCAATCTATTTAGCGAATCTTCCCTACTCAAGACCACTTGAAGATGTTTTGAGCGTTGACAGCAATCTGGTAGTATTTCCTATCACCTGACATCCAATCGAAGTTCATTCCACAAAGCTGCGACAATCAAATGTCTCCTTAGGTTGGTGTTCATGCTGGTTGCTCTGTCATCTGTTGTTGGCATGTAGACAGTAATGCCCCTTTAGGTTGTAAAACCTTGCAAATTCTTGTAGGTACACAGGAGGTAGACCAAGAAGTGATTTGTAGATCAACACTAGGGACTTACAATGAATATCTGTCTGACAGGTAGCCAGTGCAGTTCTTCCAGGGCTGATGTGGCCCAAGGGATGAGCCTGACAGCTATGTTAGCACACCCTTCAGTCACCAGGCATTTCACAATGTATTTGTTGTCATTTCTAACGTGTTTCCTGATATTCCTATCGTTACTTTAGGGCATTCACGTTTGCAGGTGTAATTCGGGTGGTTGCTCAAACTAGAATTTTGAATCAATGTTTACACGTGTGAATTGCCAAGTGAAACACAAAATCCACCAGGAATCTGTCCGTAAAGAAACTTGGTGTGAAACCAACAAGCCTCAAAGCCTTGGTGTAAGTAAACTGGGTGCAGTACAAAATACAATGGAATGACCGACTACTACCGTGCATTGTGTGAAGAAATCTCACTGGTGGCAGCACGTCTGTCTCAATTCTCGGCAAAGGAGTGACACCTGTGTGGAACAGCAATTGTCAGGCTGCTTTTGAGAAAGTCAAGACCATTCTCATGAAATTCTCCTGTATTATCAAGGCACCGGACATTAAGCAACGTTTCTAATTAGCCTTAGATACCAGTAACATTGGTGCTGGAGCTATCCTGTTGCAGGAAGATGTATTAGGCTTTGGTCATCCTGCTTGTTATTTTTCACGAAAATTTGACTTCAGATACATTATTCCACCATTGACAAAGAGACTTGTTTTGTTGTTAGCTCAGCAGCAATTTGAATTAGTACTACTTTGTTTCCTATTCCAGTGTACACTGATTACTAGTCACTGACTTTTCTTCATGAAATGAAGACCAAAAAACAATGTGCAATGCGCTGAAGCCTGTCTTTGCAGGAATTTGATTTAGACATCAAACCTTTTAATGGCAAGACAACATTATCCCTAATGCATTATCTCGGGTTGGCTGATTGTGATCAGTTTTGACTGCAGACATGATCTGCTTTCGTGTAAACATATTCTTATAATTATGAATGTTGTTTAATATTATTGTTCTAACAGTTTCAGTACTTTAATTAGCAAAGTTCTTACTGCAATCAAACTGTCTTTCACCGAAAGGGAAGAGTGTTATGAGGCGGTGTTTCAACTGTTGTGCCTTGTACATGTCGAGTCAGTGAGGATCACTGGTCTGCTATGTTTAGACTTTCAGTGTGCTACGTTTAGACTTTCTAAACTGAGACAGAAAGATCTGGAAAGATTATTTCAGAATCATCTGGCTCAGTATAGAATTTTCTAGCTTCATTTTCTTTCGTATATAATGGGAGCTAGTTATTAGCTCTGATCTTCCATTACATCTTAAGCAACAAGAATGTATGTTGAGATCATTACACTTTGGGAACTCTGCTAGCCTTTCTTCTTAGGTTTGTTCACTGTTGATGAGAGCTTTGTCTTTGTTACTATACACAAAGAACTTAGCTAAGCACCCATTGACATATCTCACGATTGAATGAGACCCGATTTTAACCCTTTGTAGCATATCTGGGACATAATTGGTCATATTGGTCGTGTGCAACAAAGGGATCTTCCTGTACAGAACCTGGCCCAATTGGACACTGCTTTACACAAGGAATGGCGTAAGCTGACTCTACAGGGGATCAGGACGCTGACAGGGGGTATGAAGAGGGGAGTGCTGGCTGCCATACAGTCACATGGAGGTTACACTCCGTATTGACCTTGAATCGTTTTAGACACGCAAAATGACATTTTGAATGTTCACATTCACCAATAAATTCAACATTAAACATTCCAGGGCCATACTTGTACAGGCATGGTTTAATATGAAAATCAGTGAGCATTTTCAAAATGAGCAATTGTTATCTGAATATCAACATGGATTCCAATCAGTTTGTCGTTTTTTATGAGTCAATGATGATGCGGGTCAGAAAAACTCATGTTTTCCCATCGTGGTCACCACGAGAAGTTTTATGTACGTGTTGAACATCTACCATTGCCAAAATACAGTAGATACTCAATTAAGTTCTTTTTGTATATAATCACTGTTCTTGTATGTTTTAAACATATTTTATTCGAAAATGAAATGGATTGGGCACAAGTTATCCAACTTAGGAACGCCCTCTCCCAGAAGTTACATATGTCATATTTACAATATAAAAAAACATTGACAACAGGGATTTGTGGAATGAATTTACAAGGTCTTTAAAGAGGATGTGTATAATATATAAAAGAATAAAACTACAAAAATCTTTCAGTGAGCTTAATATATCTGTGTATATATTCAAATGATAATTCATTTTCATATAGTGATAGTGTAACATGACCAAATAACAATAAATCTTGATTAATGGGTATGCGATGTTTAACGACAGTTTTTACATTTACAAACAAATCTTTACGCTGCGTTGTATACAAAGAACATTCTAAAGTATAATGTCATGAATTTTCACAAGAACAACCTGAAGCATCTGGTCTTAAGTTAATTCTGAATAAATCGTAATTAAGCGATCTTGTATTGTACCTTAGTTTATGTGAATAATGTTCAATTTCCTTGTACCGGACCAAAAACAGGTGGGGCTGCATTTATTTTACTTTGCATTTTCAATTTTAAAGCTGCTAAAGAGTCTATGTTTCTTATTTCTATGGAAACATTGTTCCACATTCGTATAGTAGATGGGAAAAAAAGATGATAAGGGAAGTTTCAATCTCGTAAATGGAAGGGAGAGGTTTAAAGAGTTGCGAAGGTTATAACATGACTTTGGGCAATATATTGGGTAGTAACTCCTGAAGGTATGATGGTGCAATATTGTGAAGAATCTTATAAAATAAGCAAACGTTTCTTTTTCTTCTACGTTCACTAAGGGTTTCCCAACCAGTTTCAAAGTACAAATGATCACGAGAAGTATATTTTGGAAGTCCTGTCACTATACGAGCTGCTTCTAACTGTAACTGTTCTAAGGAGTTACTTTGATCAGCTGTACATCCATCCCATAATTCACACGCATATTCAAAATGAGGACGAATGAAAACAGTGTAGATCTTATTTAGCGGTGTTCTTTTTAACAAAAACTTTAACTTTCTCATGGAATTTATCATTTTGGAGGTTTTCTTTAAAATATCATTTATGTGATGGGACTAGATTTAAGATAAGATTTAAATTGTCTAGCTTGTCACTATCTCTGGTCGAGAACAATACAGTCTCTGTCTTATCTGGGTTGTATTTGAGTAACCAGTTCTTAGCCCAATCACTTAACGAGCTTAAATTGTCATTCATAGTTGTAATGACTGCATGTTATTGGAAGATGCACTGAGTGATGTGTCATTAGCAAACAATCTTGTTGAACAATTTAATACATCGGCTACTTCGTTCACATACACAATGAAAAGGGACCCAAAACTGAACCCTGTGGGACTCCAGCTTGTAGTTTCTCGAATGAGATAATGTGCCATTCACAAAAACTGATTTAGTACGTTTGCTTATGTAAGTAGCAAGCCAAAGTTAGTAAGTTACCTTTAACACCATACATATCCAATTTCAATACAAGCCCTCTATGCCAGACACGATCAAAAGCTTTAGAAAGATCACAAAATACCGTACAATAGTTGTTTAATTGTTGTTGTTGTTTTATTTTTTTATTTTTTAATTTTTATTTTTTTTTTATTTTACTTTTTAAATATTTTTTATTGTACTTTTTATTGAATCGACGAGATACAGATAAGGTTTGATTCACATTAAATTAAACGTGCAGACGAAAGGAATTTGAAAAGAGAAAGATAGCGGTATAGACACAGGGTGCAGAAAGAGAATTCCATTACATACGAAATGTTTCATCATTTTCACCGAAAATATGTTTTTCTAGTTTGAAATGGTATTTTATTAAATATTTAATTCCGTAAAGTCATATCTTGTTTTGTTAATAATAATTCTTGATAATGATAAAAAGGTGGTTAATCAGGACAGGTGCCTCCGGGTCTCCCAGCAGAAAATGTTCAACATTTATACTTAGATTACAGCTGCTTTTGTATCGATACCACTCAACAAATTGTTTTTTCACAGTAATAGAATAAATTAGAAACAAGTTTCTGTTTCTTTGTTGCAGATGGTACAGACATTATTATCACTAATACCTATCTTAAACAGAAATGACATAGTTGTAACTATTGGATGAATCAATTTAACTAGTTCCAGATTATTTGTCTAGTTTAGTTCCAGAAAAAGTAACATCTGTAAGTGGGTATAATTTGAGAAATAATTCTGCCCTTCAAAATATTAAATGCAATACTAGTTTGTACTCCAATTCATTTATCCCTGACACGGTAAACATCTGGAACTCTCTCCCTCCTGATATCGTAAACGCCAATACTCTTGGGGAAGTCAAAAACCAACTAAAAGAACACAACACCAGTGAAATCTACTTTAATCTTTCCCATGGTTCAAGATCTTGCCAGATAACCCACTCCCGACTTCGGCTTGGGTGTAGCGATTTAAATGGAGATAAGTTTTCCAGATATATATCTGATAGTCCTGAATGTAACTGCGGGCATCACACCGAAGATGCGCTTCATTTCTTCCTCATCTGTCATATATTTAACGACATAAGATCTAATGCATACTTCTTTAGTAGAGGATTTAATTTTTCATCAATCTTATTTGGTCATTCGGACTCATTAGAACAGGTACTACTAAAATCGATACATAATTGTATCATATCTTCCCAGAGATTCTCGCCATTTACCTAGCCTAGTTTTGTTGTACATGCCGTGCCTTGCTGTTATACTGAGATCACAACAGCTTCTAGTTTATTTGCCTTCAACGTATGTTTGCAAATTGTAACACATTATATTGTCAATATAGTTCCTTGTAGATTCACATTATGTTTTGCACCCAGCTCATGTGTACGTCACTATCATTATTGTAAATACTATTGTATCATTGTTAGGGGGCGGCATTGATGTAAGCCAATCCCATCATGACTAAATGAATAAATATGTTTAAACCCATCAATTTATACTGAAAATTCCTGGCTTTATTTTCTATGGTTGTCTTATTTTTCAATGCAAAACAGTCACGAAGATAGTCATCTGCTAGAGTAATACTAGTATTAAGTTTGGTTTCCATTTCAGCTGTAGATTATAGAGAGAGCTTCCTTGACTTTCACATAATTGAGTATATATGAATTTACAGTTAGCTGACTTGAGTATTTGTGTGAGAGTATTACATTGAGTGTTTACTGATTCTATCTTTTGATTTGTGTCTTTGATGGCTTTGATCCAATGTTTGGGTCTTTCGTTAAGATTAAATTCTCTTTAAGCGTATCAAAGGACTTGAATTGACCGTTGTTTGAGACAATGTCTTTCATAAATTTCATGCCTTTGTTTATCCATGAGACAAACAACCCAATATCGGTAACAGGTACCAAATTAAGAAGTGGCAAGCACATAAAATCTTCAACACTTTCACTAATTTTAGAATGGATACATGCATAGCATGAAACAACATCTTTTTAAAAAAAACCGTTTTTAATATTTTTGGAGTAGGATTGTATTTTTTCCACTTGAAAGCTGAATAGGTTACTGTCACCAAAAGGTGATAATGTCTCGAATGCTAGGTGCTGCCACAACCCTTTTGATGTCAGTAATCTCCTTATCCATTTGATTTTCACGTAGTAATGATATAACATCGATCATTTTTAAGCCAACCTTACAGTAGTCGTTTATCAACATTTTCCTTTGGATTTTATCGCGCTTCCCACCCCAAATAAACGTAACAAGTATAGTATTCAAACGTTTGAAAAAGAGTTTAGATGGATTAGGGAGGGCGATGAACAAGTGTGTAAAAAGGGGGTTAATTTGAGTTTTAATTATCGTTATTCTGCCTGTCAAAGTTATTGATCTATTTGACCACGAGAATAATATTTTTCTAATATTTGAAAACTGCGGTTCGAAATTTAATGTAATCATTTCTTTTAAATTGGTTGAAAAAATTATTCCCAGGATTTTAAATGGTTCTTTGGACCAGCGAAGAGGTATATGTGGACAGACTTGTTCATTACCATACAATGGTTGTCTATGTTATCAAGCGATGTACATACATTGTGGTACATTTCTATAAGTTGATGTACAGTAAAGTGGCCTCGCTGTAAACCAGCCTGATATTTGTACAACAATTTGTTATCAAGAAAGTATAGTCCGTTTGGCTCAAGAGCGGACCGATGAATTGCAATCTAACTCGAAAACTAATAAACATAAAATACGCAATGAAACGCTGATCATAATCAAAACATCATACCCACTCTGTGACGTTTTTGCAGAATTTTTGTCCTAAAAATTAAAAAGTTGTTTAACAAACTATCATTAAAATATTGACACAGTTCACTATTTGTTACGAGGGAGGAGTGCAGAGAAAGGGACAGCCAGGTGTTCGAGAACGGATGGAGACGGCACAGCACAGGTTAATGAATAAATAACTTTGTCTGTGAACGTGCTTCAAAATAGAAATCACAAAGCATTTCTATCCTTTCTAATGGAGTTATGAAAATCATCCCATTTTAGATTTCATCAGAAACAGATTCATCAAGGTGAGCTTCAGTCAAACATACAACATCATAATCTGACACTATTTCAGACAAATACCTTTGCTTGTGACGAAAACTTGTAACATTTAAGTGAAATATAGAGAGTGATTGATCTGGGCTTACATTGGGAGGTCCGGGACTCGACTTGACATCTCCGGCAAGCTGGAGTAGACAATTGGATAATCAACGCAGCGTTTACATTGTTGAAACTTGATTGAAGTAAGCACAGAAGAAGAATCACATTACATGTTTTCCATTCAATAAGTAACAATTCGAAAGCTAGGTGAATTTCTTGTGAAAATATATATCTCAAGATGTGACAAATCGTAAAGTCTCGGTCAGGTGTGATTGGAAAGTGTTTCTGTTTGTAGTAACAAAGCACACCTTGCTATAACCATATCGCCGCACGATACTGTGTTATGTCATTACCCATATATAACTGATTGAGTTTACATAGGAACAGCTGTTCTTGTATTTTACTGCCTTATAGTTTGTGCTGCCATGGTGACACCTTGCATTGATTGATGTTGCTTTGTGGACTGAACTTAGTTAGAACGAACACTATTGTTAATTACATCACCTTACCTTGTTGTTTGATAGTTTCACCCCTCGTTCATTTACGGATTGATTCCCGTTCAACCTTTTAGTTTCAACACGTAATAATAGATTGAGTCTGAAAAGTTTTCAGTCTACTCAATTTCTAATAAGTTTACGATTCACACATTTTTAAGCATTAAACCGCGATAAAATATTATCGTACAAGGATTAAACACTTTTAAAGTTGGTTAGCAAGTTGGCATTTCCAAGGGAAGTGCCCGATTCTGATATACAGACAGAATCATATTACATTACTAATTATAACCTGTGATAATGATACAAATTAGGTATTGATATAATTTGAAGTCACAATGAATTACCATACGATATACTTTCCAATGGAAATCGACTTTTCATCGTCTGTATTGTTATCAGGGTGATATCAGTATGTTTACAATACTCACTACTTTCATTGTTGGATTCGATTTAATATGTGTCAAGATTTCAATCTGGTTGATGTATACAGGCAAGTTGATTCCTGGATTGCAATAGCGTAGCTGATGATCAAAATTTCAGTTTGTAAGTTCCAGCTTACTTTACTCAGTCATCATATGTTAATTTTAATTTATATATTAAATGTACCAGTTAATGATATTTCTGTGCCTACCCAGGTGATCCTGCTTGATTTTCGTTTACCTCATCCATATTTCACATCAGCATTGCTAGGAAACAGAAATTCTTGATAAATATGAAATTAACATAGACATACCTTAACTTGGTGGACACATCCAACTGCCAGTGAAGCCCAGATGTTGTGGCAGACAGCTGCATGCCTCACTTCATGCTTCCATCTGTCATCAGTTTACGTTGATCAATCCACGTATCAATAGTGTGGTCCACAGATGTTAGCCAAAGTTGTAAATTAAACTGGGACAAAACACTCTCCACTTTTGTAAGAAATCTCTGCCAAAAGCAGATTCGATTGTACAATTGTAACTATATCAAGAGTATGTGTGTATTTGATGTCGCATCCACCTGTAGGGGCCATACTAAATATGAGAACATAGAAGATGGTGTCAGTGTTATTCATTGTAACTATATTAGCCACTCACTGGTTATCCTAATAGTGGGCTTTTTTTTTTAGACTTGTATCAGAATGATATAGAATGTTCTGGAAGCTGCTACAGGTGCTGCAACCCGTGGGTTGTTGTAGAATTTTTTTAGCATCTTATTCTTGTGTAAGGGGAGCTAGCTATTGCCTCTTTTTTCACATTGCAACTCAAGCGGGGCGGTGGGGTAGTCTAATGGTTAAAGCGTTGGCTCGTCATGCCGAAGACCCGGTTTCGAATCCCCACATGGGTACAATGAGTGAAGCCCATTTCTGGTGTCCCCCACCGTGATATTGCTGGAATATTGCTAAAAGCAGGTAAAACCAAACTCAGTCAGTCAGTCAGTGCAACTCAAGCCACAAGAAGACCAGCATTTTGTGTGATCGCTCTCCACTCTTGGAAATTCCAGCTAACCCTAATTTCGGAAGTTGGATTACTGTTACTGAGAGGTTAACATTACCACATTGTCTCTAGAGCTATAATCTCTGCTCTTGTATTATATCACCTCTGTTATATATTTGTACTGCCACGCTATTATGTACTGCCATAGTGATACATATGTATTGATTTGTGAACTTTGTCAATTTCAGAATACATCACAATTCTTTGTTGTTTGCCCTTTGCACATCTTGTTCTTTTAAAAAAATTTCCGGTTAAAACAGCGTTTCAGCCAGGGACTCAGAACGTAACAACATTGACTTTACCATTCAACAACTAAATCACAAATCTGTGGGACCATGGGGGCTACAAGTGTAATGGGGGGAGAGTAAGAGTATACTTTATTTGGTCAGTATGTCTATTTTTGAAATATGTCAGAAGCCTTAGGTTGTTCAAAAGTTGCATGTTTATCTTTAATTTGAAAATTTGAAGTTTATCAGCTTTAGATGCTGTCTGAAATTGTTTATATGAATATCTCAAATGCATATTTACATAAATTAGAAATTATTTAATTTCTTTCATAGACCTGATGGAACTTGATGGAATACCGTTAGAATCTAGGGCACAGAAGATCAACATAAACAGAAATGAATTGCCTTCAGTGAAAACACTAGGTCTTATGTAGATTGCAAATGATGATGAGTTCAGTTTCTGCATGAATGTTCCTGAAGACATTGTGAGAATGACCAAAAGAATGTTTCTCGGTGAAATTGCAAGGATCTTGGACTCTTGACACCTTTCACCATTGTGGGGAAACTGATCATGCAAGAGATGTGGATAGCAGGTTTTGGGTGGGATGAAGAACATCATCCAGATCTGAATCTTAGAACTTTGATATGGGCATGTGAAGTTAAGGAGTTATGCCGTAGCATAGTACCACGTTGCTTGAGAATCAAATCTGAAATAGAAAACAAAACATTTCATGTATTTGCAGATGCATCACAAGATAATGCATATGGGGCAGCAATATATGCAGTCTATATCCAGAGCGGTGAGTCGTTTAGTTACCTCCAAAAGCAGGGTTGCTCCTCTTCAATCTGTAAGCATTCCAAGAATGGAACTGATGGCGGCAGTCCTTGGGGTAAAAGTGTTTGTTGCCTCAGCAAAGGTGTTAGAAATGTTCACTGTCAACACATATTTTTTGGTGTGACAGTATGAATGTGTTATTGGATAAAACGTCAAAGCAGAAATTGCAAGTCTTTTGTGGCAAATCGCATTGGTTACATCCCAGAACATACCAGTCCATATGAGTGGAAATATGTTCCATCTCGGTTACATACTTACCAGGGGTACATCAGTGAAGAACATAGCCAGTAGTACATGGCTGACAGGTCCAGCACTTCTGACACTCACAGAAAGGGAATGGCCAAAACAAATAGTTGGATTTCAAACTGATAGTACATTAGAAATGAAGAAACTTTCCAGAAAAAAAGGACTTGTTACTGTAACGTCTGAAGGCGAGGACAATACATGGCGTCTTCATCCATCCAGATACTCTGACTGGAAGAAGCTGACTGGAACATATGCTTGGGTATGCTGATTTGTTACCGACGCCCATATTGCACCAACATTACGAAGTGGTAATTTGGAAATAGAGGAAATCGGAGATGCTGAAATGAGAATCATCAGTCAGATGCAACAGTAATTCGCAAAAGAATTGTCTGCACTACAAAATGGAAAACAGCTTCCAAGAGACAGCAAACTCACTGGACTTTAGCCAATAATCTTGCCTTTGAAAACATTGGGTGAAAAGACTTATTGTCAAACATTACCCCGAAGCTGGTAAACATGCAGTAGGTACTAATCAAACTTTAGCTGCTCTATCCTCAAGATACTGGGTCATTGCTGATCGTGAAGAGATTCGAGCCTGGGAGACAGAATGTGCCTTTTGTCGTAGACAATAGGTTTAACTCAGACCTGAGATCATGCATGGCTCCACTTCCAAAACTGATAGCTATTCGCTGAGAGCAGTTTTCTCCAGTTGGAGTGGACTGTGCAGGGCCTTCTCTGGCTATCCAAGGAAGATCAAAGAAAAGACGAAGACGATATCTATGGCTTTTCTTTTTTCTTTTATATTATTATTAGCATAGGGACAGATGTTACATATCCATTACATATGTACATATATATATATAGCGAGATGTTACACTGATACATGTACTATGTGAATACAAATATATCCATTTCACATAGAGATGAAGATATTATCTACGGATGTGAAAGTGTCATCCTTGGAAATGTACAGCATTTGCTTTACACACTATATTGAAAAATTAGGGCAAATATAGGATAAGTACTAGACGTGAAAGTGTGGAAATAGGGAGAGGAAGACAGGAGAGGGGGGGAAAGAGTAGATGAGAATGGGGGGAAAAAGACGGGGGAGGGGTCGTGTTGGTGGCTGCGTGTTTACGCAGTAAGTGTCGGCATCAATGTTGACCATTTATGTTTTAGTGTGGTATTGGCAGGGCCGTATAAATTTGCTTGATATTTTTTATCAAACCTTGGAAATGCAAATTTGTTTTTTTTTATGTTTACACGTATAAATATACATTTAGAGAAAGTTATACAAATGGTTTGATTGGGGTCTCCAAGTAAGATAATTGATTTTGATATTTTAATTTCTTTTTGGTTGTTTCTTCAAACCATATTCGAAACTGTCTCATCAGATTTTGAGTTTTTTTCATCAGATCTGTGTCTTTTCTAAGACTAACTAAGTTCGGCCTAACTACAGTCTCAGTGGTAGGGAGATAGGAAACGTTAAAACAGGACTTTACTGAGGAGAGATTAGTGCACAAATGAGCAAGTCCTAAGCGACTTCGTTGGAACAGACCATAGCTTTATGCAAATTAGTGTGCTGGGATATTGTATTACCAGGTGATCTCACATTACATCTCACGTTAGCAGAAAATTGTCTCTGATGATTCAATCTAGCCCGCCAGAACAGAGACGTTCTTTCATCGTCATACCTCTAACCGATTAGGGGCGGTGGGGTAGCCTAGTGGTTAAAGCGTTCGCTCGTCACGCCAAAGACCCAGGTTCGATACCCCACATGGGTACAATGTGTGAAGCCCATTTCTGGTGTCAACCGCCGTGATATTGCGTGAATATCGCTAAAAGAGGCGTAAAACTAAATTCACTTACTCACTCTAAGCGACTCCAGAGATGCAGAGGTTGATGGCACCTGAACACTATCGGTGTAAGGTATCTTGGTCTGTATCCCTAGATACATTAGTTAACTTAAAGGCAACGATGGTATTCATCTCTCAGCAGCAGGAATCCAACTTGCAACTAGGCCTGGCGGGCTAGAGAGTAATCATCAGAGACAATTTTCTGGTAACGTGAGATGTAATGTGAGATAAGAGTTAACTCCCATAATCTGTTAATATAGAATACCACCACCCATTACTGACTCTACAGGTACAATAAACACAGTTGACACAGTGTTGCAACACGTATAACACTGCCTCATAACACAGGGAGCTATTTAAGGTCACACCGCTTGATCTCGTCAAGTTGCAGCTGGCTGCTCAAGGACAACAGTGACCACAGGTTTGTACATGTTTGCCAGATCTGTAGATTGTCAGCTCCGGTGCATATATTTGAGATATTCCGATGGTGTATGTAATATCACGGACACTTGACTTGCTACAACCATTGCACATTGAGTCGCGTAAGTTACCCACATCTTACTGACACTGAGACGCCCCACAGTCCTCGCCATGTGTCTATGTATTTGATGAAGAGGCGGACTTTGGGCGATTTAGAGTGTGACGCTTGACGAATGTCGGTTTGGGAGTGTCGAGATACCACGCGGAAGTTTAACATGACCTGAATAGGCCTACCACTCAGACACAAAATGTTTCCATGGAGCTCACAAGCCCTTGCTTTATCCTACTCCAACTGTAACATGTACCGTTGAATGCCCATAAATATTTAGGACGCGGCGAGGCGAACTGACCTTAACTTCCCCGGATATAGGCTCTATGCACTAGGTATCCAGTAGGTAGCCTCTAGGTATCAACTAGGGTATAGACCAGGGTATCCACAAGCGTATCCACTATGACGAAGGTATCCAGTAGGTAGCCTCTAGGTATCAACTAGGGTATAGACCAGGGTATCCACTAGCGTATCCACTATGACGAAGGTATCCAGTAGGTAGCCTCTAGGTATCAACTAGGGTATAGACCAGGGTATCCACTAGCGTATCCACTATGACGAAGGTATCCAGTAGGTAGCCTCTAGGGTATAGACCAGGGTATCCACAAGCGTATCCACTATGACGAAGGTATCCAGTAGGTAGCCTCTAGGTATCAACTAGGGTATAGACCAGGGTATCTACAAGCGTATCCACTAAGACGAAGGTATCCAGTAGGTAGCATCTAGGTATCAACTAAGGTATAGACCAGGGTATCCACTAGCGTATCCACTATGACGAAGGTATCCAGTAGGTAGCCTCTAGGTATCAACTAAGGTATAGACCAGGGTATCCACAAGCGCATCCACTATGACGAAGGTATCCAGTAGGTACCAACTAAGGTATAGACCAGGGTATCCACTAGCGCATCAACTATGACGAAGGTATCCAGTATGTATCCACTAAAGTGCAACCTTCACAGTAAGAATGTGGATTGGGTGGTCTGCCAACGTGCCCCGACATTACTGGACGCTGATCGTATGGCCAATCAGACTCCCGTGGTATTGCTGGAGTTAGTGAGTTAAGATTGTAAGTCACATCAGCAATATTTCAGCCATATCGTGACTGGTATTGCCGGAACATGGGTGTCTGCTGCCAAGGACGCCGACAAACACATGAACCGCGTGTTCCATGAGAATTGGTACGTCTGTAACGTCAACATGGTGGTTAGACCCAATAGATTCTTGTTTCACATAAGGGACTGAAATGAAATGAAATTTGTAGCAGGTAATACACTGGACTGGACTCCTGTCTACTAAACCAGTAGACGAACAGGCGATAACCAATTTCTCGTAGGATGCGATTGGACGAAACTAAACATAGCATTGATTGGTCCGCGATTAAGAACGAATTGTTAGTGAAATAATATTGACCTCTTAAAATAAAAATTGTAAATAATTATCACCCAAGGCAAATGCTCGAACCAACATTGGGACCTGTTCAGTAGTACATACAGTCACTCGTTAACTTTGGTGCATTATCAGCATTTAGAAGTCGGAAGATCAATTATTTAAACAGGACCTGTCAATAGCGACGTAAGACTATATTTTTGCAGATTCTGTCCACCCTGGTCGAAAGTACCTCAGCCGGAGACTATGGAACAAGTAAAGTATGGCGAAGATTACAAAACAGACTTTCAGCCGGAAGAGTATCTACAGATGTACTACAGTACGCTGAAAGGTGCACCGGCTGAGGGAGACATGCTGGAGGCGTCCATGCTGTTCTGGCATGAAGCATTCAATCAAGGTATTCACATACTCGTCTCTAGTCACGAGTCTTGTCACTCCAGAGTTACTTCTATAGAGTTGCCTCCCCTAGGTACGCCAAATCTCATAAAGGTGGATTAGAATCCCAATTTACGGGTGGTCAGGCTCCCTGCTTGGTTGACACATGTCATCGGTTTCCCAATTGCGCAGATCGATGCTCATACTGCTGATCACTGGATTGTCTGGTCCAGAGTCGATTATTTACAGACCGCCGCCTTATAGCTGGAATATTGCTGAGTGCGGCGTAAAACTAAACTCACTCACTCACCTCCAGTTATACACACTCACTCACCTACTCAGTCTCTCACACACTCTACTAATATCTTGAGTTTTACAAATATTTAATACCGAACGTTATTTCATCAAATAGCTAAATGTCCCCTTCCCGATGTCAACGTTTCGGAGACATTTCGATGTCTTTCTAGACATGGCGTGTAACATTTCTATTAGCACCTACCTGTTGGTGACTTAGATCCTGACATCACGGCATTATGTGATCCCACTTGAACTTTGAATTGATGACCACGGCAGAAATGGAAATCCGATTATGAACAACAATAGCGACCAATTTCAATAACGAACCTCTAGGGATACGTCCAATACTCAAACGGCCGGTGACTGTACAAATGTAGGCATTAGGTACTGGCTTGGTACTGTATGTGTTAATCAAATGATTGAGACATCTTCACAATCCTGACGACCCAAGTTGTCATGTCATAATTACAGTAATCGTCCATCTTTACATGAAGCACAGATATGACAATACCACAATGTTGACATAATGTTAAAAATCCAGTTGGAACATAAATGTTTCACTCATTCTCCTAGGTCACATGACAGGCCGCCGACTGCTCGACATCGGAACAGGCCCTACAATCCACTCTGTAATCAGCGCCTCCAACTACTGCGACACCGTCTACCTGTCCGACTTCGCCCCCCAGAACAGGGAAACGTTGAGGAAATGGCTGGATGGGAGTCTGCAGCACAGCTTCAAGAGTTTCTTCCAGTTTGTGGTGGACAAGGAAGGGAAAGGGTAACTATCACTCCTTGTCTGGCAGAGTCCAATATGTGGTGGACAGGGAAGGGTAACTATCACTCCTTGTCTGACGGAGTCCAATATGTGGTGGACAGGGAAGGGTAACTATCACTCCTTGTCTGGCAGAGTCCAATATGTGGTGGACAGGGAAAGGGTGACTATCACTCCTTGTCTGGCAGAGTCCAATATGTGGTGGACAGGGAAGGGTAACTATCACTCCTTGTCTGGCAGAGTCCAATATGTGGTGGACAGGGAAGGGTAACTATCTCTCCTTGACTGGCAGAGTCCAATATGTGGTGGACAGGAAAGGGTAACTTTCACTCCTTGACTGGCAGAGTCCAATATGTGGTGGACAGGGAAGGGTAACTATCTCTCCTTGACTGGCAGAGTCCAATATGTGGTGGACAGGGAAGGGTAACTATCTCTCCTTGACTGGCAGAGTCCAATATGTGGTGGACAGGGAAAGGGTAACTATCTCTCCTTGACTGGCAGAGTCCAATATGTGGTGGACAGGGAAGGGTAACTATCTCTCCTTGACTGGCAGAGTCCAATATGTGGTGGACAGGGAAGGGTAACTATCTCTCCTTGACTGACAATAGTACATATTGTAGCGTTGAGGAGCACATTTTATGGGAATATGTCTTTCTGGAATTCGCACTATGCTAGTTGTCCGTAAAATACTGGTAGGTTTATGAATGAAGAAACTTGAGGGTCATGATGTATATTTTATCCACTTATTCGTCTTGATTTGGATGTCCTCTTCCGGATCACCAGTTGGTTTGGTTTTCATAATATCACAAACAGTAAAACTAATGAAAGATATGGAACTATGAACTACAGCATAGAAATATCACATTTATCAGGAAATCGTATTAAAGCACTGTAACGAAATAATCATTAAATAGCGAAATCTTCAGCAATCTGGAATTCGTGTATGCATTTGGTCAGAATGTAGCGAGTTATTTTGTTTTGATCGACTTGAGCAGTTACAATATTTGCTGATCAACAAACATCTTCGATTGTTTATGTATCGTTTGATAAATTTGCTGGACCCGTCCGCCAACATCCCGATTCGAATGGCACCTTACTAAAGTTCAAACGTGTCCAAACATTTATGCTGGGTCTAACATTGATGTGGGTGGTTACTGTACTCCCTTTCCTAAGCTTTGGTGGTGATTGGGTCCAGGTCATGTATCGAACTAGAATAGAGCTGGAATACATTGGGTTATTGAGGGTGTGCAAGACGAAGAAGTAAGTCTCTAAAATCTTTGTATCAATCTTTCAGGGAACTTCCGAATGACCGAGAAGCTATGTTAAAAGATAAAGTTGTGGGAATCTTTCCTCTTGACCTTCTGCAGGCTGAGCCTCTGATGCCATCACTGTTTCCTCCCTTTGATATCATCAATTCGTCACTGTGTTTAGAGGCTGCGGCTCAAGATCTCGCTAGCTACGAGAACATGGTGAGACGTATGGGGAGACTTCTGAAAGATGGGGGTCATGTAGTTCTCTTTGGAGTTCTTGGTGAATCATTCTACCGTGTGGGAAGCCATTCATTTTCCTGCCTCAAGATCAGCGCAGAGCAGGTCCAGGATATCTGGAAACGATCCGGATTCACAATTGTTGAATGGAAGCAAAAAGCGACTGATGCTCAATGTGATGGTTCAGTGTCAAATTTTGAAGGTTTTTTCCTGATGGTGGCACAGAAGAGTCGTTAAAACTCCTCCAGGTATGAATGGGGGCTATCAGGAAACACTCTGCTAACTTACGTCTTAGCACCTAGTTTTATTAAGTATTATGCCATGAAGTTGCAGGATGATCCAATTTGACTGATTACTTATATCAAATATACGGCAATAACCTCTTCACACAGTATCACTGCACTGAATACACGCGCAAGAAAAAGAGTCCGTATTCAGAAATGCTTTTAAGTCTGGGAGAATGGTGATAAACCTGTTCTGTTCTACATTTTAAGCGGTTCATCGCTGAATAAATGTAAATGTAACAATTAGAGATCTTTATTCAACGATGAACCACCTTAAAAGCTGGAATAGAACAGGTCTGTCTCCTAACTAATGAGGTCCGCTGAAGCAGTGGAAATGTTATTCTCCTGTTATAAGAGCTGCTGGAAACTTTTCTGTGGACCGAATTCAGTAATGAGCGCTGGACAGGGGTATCTCTTTCTTACGTGAACGTGCGGTTGCATATTTAACCAGAATTTTAAGCACCACTTTGACGATGTAATTGTTCTGTCGGATTAAAATGGGATCGAATATCACTTGTGGTGTGTCACACTGTGATTTACACTGCATCAAAAAAAATGACTGAAGCTTCTTCTCGTTATTTATTACTCCGGTAAGAGAGTTACTGACACGTAATGTTGGTTCTGTATCCTAGACCTGCCGACATACGACATTCTGTACTTGATTTCACGAAGATCTGTGATGTATCGTTACACATGCCCAGTTACCGTAATATAGATGATTCGCGAACTTGACGCCGCAATCAGAAACAGTCCCTCCGTATACCGCAGGCTCGTTTACAATCGAGTCTCTTAAAGTTTCATCCGGAATGCACGAATATTTGTCCTCAGCAAAAAGGAAAAATCTCGGAGTACTTAAAACATTTCAAACACGTCAATACAGATTTCTCACAAATTCGAAATTGGCCACAGTATGGTAATATAATATTTTACGAGCGCATCGTTACGCTCCCATCCTGTGTTGCCTCCCTTGGACCTCGCACACGTTATGTACCTTCAGTGACCAATATTATATTCTCGCGTTATGACTCATCGTTATGGCATATCATGTGATTCTGACAGTCTTGTAATGCAGAAGATGTTTTTCAAATGCTGCGTGTTTCTCTTTTGATATAAGATTGGTTAATGATGTATCGTTGTTATTTGTCTTACAAATTCGAAACAATAATCATTTTATACCTACATTTTAAGTGATGTAATGTCTTTACAGATTACACATGGTTCATTTTAATAACCTATGTATATAATGTATTTGAAATGATAATTCACAAGACCATTGTTACATTATATTACTTAATACATTACAAAGTTCTAAAAGTTATTAAATTTGAGTGAGGGATGTTTCAACAGTTTGGATTTGGTGATAATCATTTAAAATGTACATCCTTTTACTGTGACAGATGTGATATATATACTACTCAAAGTTTGCTAAGGATAACATTTTCCGAATATGACAATAAACATCTCACTATACAAATAACTATTTAGCGGTTATGGGATCCATGAGATGCGATTACAGCCTGGCACTGTCGCCTCATGGTTCCAATAACAGTCTTGATAGACGCCAAGGGAAGATTGTTCCACTCATGGCGGAGAGCAATTCCGAGTTCTGAGAGAACCTGGATACACAGGACGACGTGAGATGGAAACCTGAAGCATGTTCCTAATGTGCTCTATCTGGTTGAGGTCCGGTGAACGAGCTGGCCCCACCAGACAGCACGGCTGTCTCTTGCTCAAGGTAAGCATCAAGGGTCGTGCATTATCGTCCATGAGGATGACGTCAGGACCACCTGCACCAGCAAACGGTCTCTCGTACACATCCAGAATCTAATCCCTGTAATCGTGCCTCTCAGTAGCACATGGAGATCAGTGCTCCAAGCCCTGCTGATACCACCCCAAACCATCAGTACTCCCCATCTGTCATGTTCGGCTCCGTTAACGTCATGAAACCGTTGTCCTGCTCTTCGGTCAACACATTACCTTGACACGTCTGTGAAGAGTACGGATACCCGATCATTGACTGTCCAGTTGACATGATCTCTCGCCCACTCCGAATGTGCTTGCCGGTGACGCCGGGTAAGAGGGATGGGAATGCTCTCCTTGACCGAAGACCAGGGCCCCGATCCACAAAGAGTTCGTAGCAATACGACATTCGTATAAACCTATGATAAACTAACGCTTTGTGGATCGGGCCCCAGCCTCCCGAAGACGATTACGGAGTTCATTTCGTAGCGTGGTTGCCGTCTTGCTGAAAGCTGACTGGCGGAACGTGCTCGATCACCCGCTTGTCGCTGGATTGCTGAATCATGAGTTTGATACTGCTTCCAAGCCCTGCAGACCACGCTTTGACTCACATCAAAGACGTTGACAACGTGACGTTGTGTTATCCCACTTTCAAGCGTCACTTCGCATCTGGCTAATTCTTCAACTGTCAAACGACGTTGTCGTTGAGGGAGCATTTCTGTTTTCAGTAATTGAGATAAACGCTTGGCAGACTCTCAAAAACAGGCTGCCGGTTGCAATGACAAAAAATCAGAACGGAGAAAACTGTGGTAATCATGCATCACGTGGTGTCCATCACGGGATGCTTTTCCCTGCTTTATGTGGTAGTGGGGTTACCCAATCATTGCGTACCGGGTTTTATTCCAATATGACTTCATATTACAGTCTAAGTAAACTTAGGCTCAGTATTATTCGTTACATTGCTATACTGAGACTTAGTATAGCAGTGTAACCAATAATACTGAGCCTAAGTTTACTTAGACTGCTTCATATCATAATTTTATGTTGACTTGAAAATGTGATCCTTAGCAAACTTTGAGTACATTTGTATATCCAAACAGAACTATCTCCCCTTATTACCATTGGTTTAGTTCCTGTGGTTTCCACAACATTATGTTAGGTTATCCTATATAGTTTGTACATTTGCCTTCATGGAGTAGGTACACTATTGTCTTTCTCCTTAGCAATATCAGTAAAGGTTGTTTTCAAAATCTTTTTTCTTTCTTATTAAAATGTTTAGTAGAGAAAACTTATGAACCAAACAATAAGGATATTATATTCATGTTGTGCTCTAATCCAAGAGGGACGATTTTATCCAAGTGACTTCATGTAAAGTAAATGTGAGATCTTTTTCCTGTCTAACAAGGTTTCAATGTTTTTCTATACTAAAGTTGGTGTATGTCATAAATATATCTGCATTACTTACAGCTTTCTGTGATATTCGGTAAGTGGAATGGAAAATATATCTATTTGGGATGTCATTGCAGTATCCCATCATTTACAATATCTATTAATGGCCCTTTAACACCTTCAGTGAGTTTGATTTATCATCACTGGACAGTATATCAGTAATACCACAGCAGGTCCACTTGATGTGGAATCAAGTCCCAAGTAATGAATTTGTGATATTCACTACAAGGGTGAGAGGCGGTGGGTTAAAGCATCGTCACGCTGAAAATCCGGGATCGATTCCCCACATGGGTGCAATGTGTGAAGCCCATTTCTGGTGTCTATGCTGTGATACTACTGGAATATTGCTAAAAGTGGTGTAAAGCCACACTCACTCACTCACTCACTAGGATGAATCCCACCAGCAGGTGCATGGTGATGACACATGAAGAAACATGATCAAGGACAACAGGGATTGCATTTTCAACACCAACAGTCACCAGTTTGTCTCACCTACTTGAATTGTCACATACAAATACCAAATGCCGATACAATTCTCAAAATGGGTAATAGTTATCGGCTTCGAAGTTCTCAACCCTCTAAAGAATATAAAACAAAACACTTTTCTACTGGTATAATTGTTTATTGGCTTGAATTACAAATGTCTTTGTAAGTAGTGGTTTTCATACAATTTATATGCAAGCACAGTTGACCGTACAGCTGGGTAGCATGCATAGCTCATTCCTTGTGGTTCCTTGGAGCCAAGGCTGCCAGAACATAGATAAGTAGAGGTGTGACGCTGAATAAATACATGATGTCTCATCCTAACATGACAACAACCAAATCCAACCACCATTCTGACTGGCTAAAGTCAGGATTTAACTTTCTTCTCCAAAAACTGACATTTAGTATCCAGTTTGGTATTTCACAGATCCTGTCTTGACACCAGACATTCCAGTAAAACACAATGTACTACTGATTCCTGCTACAGCACAGGGTTATTCCTTCACACTAAAACATACAAATTTCATCATAAATCATCATCACACCCCTACTCATAGCATTATTGAGGCCAATAGTTCAATATATACAAACCACCAATATTGTTCTACATACACTTTTCATATTGTGTGTAAATAAAAGTTGATTAACAGAGATCAAGTGATAACAGTATAAGATGACCTTATCATCAGGTAGGACTAGTCATTCAAATCTTTCAATGAAAAACAACACCATGGATAGACCCTGCTTGAAACAAAAAATGCATAGGTCAATCTGTTATATTTGTTCAGGGATTCTATGACATAATACACCCTTGACTAAGGAAGATGATAACCTACTGCTGAAATATATGCATTAAACTTCTACCTATTGAAACTGGTGAAACGTATAAAGCTACACATTTAAAGTTGTCTGTATGCATAGAGAATAGCAGGGAACTGTCAGCATGCTAAGCAGATGTCTAATATAATGATTATAGCAGTTGGAACTGGATTTCACGACTGTTCCTGAATCAAGAGCTGTTTATCATGCATTTATTCGGTGTACCTACATTTCACATACCATATATACAAGATTATCTACATATCTACAAAATGTACAATTCACAATACTACATTGTACATAACAATCAGCAACTAGACACTACACTGAGCTACAAGCTCCAGGGATTCAGTGTTACTCGGCCCATAAGTGTGGTAAATTAACTAAACAACACATGGTGGACCTGGTAAAACTTTGAGCTAATGAAGGACTAGTCCTGAGCACTTTCAAGGCTTATTGGGAAAGCATATGTTAATAAATACTAACAGATTCTAAGTGATAATCATTTTCATTTGACATAGGTGCTGTTTGAAAGTATTTGTGCTGTTGTAGCAACAAACAAAATCAAATCTAAAGTAAAGTTCAAAACATAAATGAAATATGAAACTAATACATACTACTAAATTGGTCCTACCCTTGGCTTCAAACAGGAAGACGTTGCTGTAAAGGAAACATTACGCTATTGCTCAGATATAACTCCCCTTCAAGGATTATGTGATCCTTATCCACATATCATAAAGGGAAATTGTTAAATGACAAAGGTGGAAGAACACAAATCGCCAAATAGATATATACCTTGGTTATATTACATTGACAATCCTGTAACTGTTAATCCTAGTGGTCATTTTCTGAGCTGTTATTTCAAAAATCACAACAGCAACACTCTTTCTGGCATGGGGAGTTAGTTGTGAGTCTCCGTTAAGCAACACACTGAGATGACAAGTGGCCCTCTTGTTGTTGAATATTTTTGAATAGTTCCATTATTTTACAAACTGTATCCATCTGATACAAAAATATGATTTGATTTATGAATGTGAGAGTATAAAAAATAAAACAAAATATAATTTCCCACTCAATTATGCTAATGACCAAACTTTCTAACCTGTTGTTCAAATCACCTCGTACATACTGGCCACTGCAAATGTAGGACCTAATCTGGATCATAAAGATCTGGAGAAAAATACAAAATGCAATTACAGAAATACAATACCTAGGACCTCTGGTAACTTGAAGTTTAATAACATACGATAAGAGCTGAGAACTGAGAAAATATTGACAAAATATTTACAATTTTGTTATACCGCTTCACTATACCATGTTATCACATTTTCATGATAATGAACATAAATTATGCCTCGAAAAGTGAAAATAGATCTTTATTATAAAATTACTGAAAGGTTTGGCACATTTCAGAATTGAAATAGAAAACATTGTGCATGACCAGCGAGTGTTTCAACTTTTCATCATGTAGTTAAAATATAATGTTAAAGGTATGCACAAAGGCCTGATCTGCACAACTAGCCTGGAATGCTTAAATCTGCAAAGCCAATATGAAGGAGTCAGTCGCAGGAGCACAGTCAAGACATCAATCACATGATCTCAACGACATCAATACAGTGCTATACATGGCAGCTCTAGATTTTCTCCTTAACACTGAGAAGCAGCTCTACCAAGCTAACTAAATCTGAATAAAACAGTTTTACACAAATAGTGGCAATTGTAACCATGCTAACTAAATCTTAAAACTTTTACAAAAATATTGGAAGTTCCAAGGAATATGATGGTTATAAAAATGGTAGAATCAGAACAAATTAACAACGATGGTTTTAAAAATTAACCACTAACAAACTAAACGTAAAACGTAACAGCAAGGATACCACCTGAAAACCCAAGAGCCTTGAACCCACTGAACATACATTTTCAACACTTAATACTGCTCATATCACGTTAATTACCTTAGGAGTGTCACAATACACCAATGTACCAATGTATTGAGAACTAACGCTTGATGATAATATGCACAAAATGCCAGCCTGGGCTGACTCGATTTGTTCTCAATTTATAATGACTACTTGGATTACGCCACAATAATCCGACAGCACAATACCATTGCTGCAAGTATATTTAAGCTGTCAATCAAACACAGACTGGTTGATAGAAACAACCATGTAGAATTCCACACCAAAACATCCCAAAGTCAGGACTGCAGTACATATCAACACAGGTATCAAAATAGGTAGGTATACCGTGACACTCCTACATTATCAGATGGGATCCAGTATGTGCTGTAAGAGATCAAAGTCACTATCACTCAGCAAAAGCTCTCGACCACTGAACTCATACAACTTAACAGACTGACATTACAGCTATGATGATAAGGTGTTGTCATGTGTACACATCTGTTAGTCCCTCATTATATCTATAAATACAACTCAAACTGTACAAGAATGTAATAAGTCCACCATGAAATAATTATTAGACTTTCATCCTTGACAGCATTACCCCATCTTGCAACATATCATTGTCACTGAGTGCCTACAGATGAAGAAAATAGCTGTTCCCTTGTTTCTTTATGTGATGAAATATCCTATACACAGTATACGTGATCCTGTAAAATATCCAATATGCTTCATAGAATAGAATGCCTCCCGCTTCATATTATTAACAACTCTGGATGAAAATCTGATAATTACACCCTGTGATGACTGTATAATTGCACTGGTATATTGCCACGAGTATAAGGTCAAATACTGCAGTCTGCTAACATTTAATGTCAGAAAATGTGGTTGACAAAACATCAGTTTCTTGGCTTCACAAATGAAATGGTTAGCTTAGAGTTAGCCTGTAAAAATTAATCTTCCAGGGTTGTAAGGTAAGCAACATCATGTCAATGTAGAGTGGCTGTACATTAGGTTACATTCACGACTCATGCTTAATGACACAATGCTGACACAATGCTGACACAGCTACAATTAACGTGTCTTGCATGCTACAAACTACATACTAAACACACACACAACAGTTTCAATGGTGATGCGAAAATAAACTTAAGGCCTACTATTTGTAGGGGAAATACCAAAACATGAAATGTGATCTTATCCAATTCTGCTTACATACAATGCAGGTGTTAGGCCAAAACAAACTAAGAGTATGTGGTACACTGTGCCACCACCACATTTTCTGTTGTAGCCTTTATTGTAGTCCCTCTTTAATGCTGCAAGTACAGAAAGTAATGACATACATTGTTTAGTATACAAACTGACCCTCAATAATTTTCAAGACAAGTATTCCTGCACCACACTAAGCATGCTGCAGTCAAGGGTGTCTCTTGACAATGTGTGGCAATCAGCGTGATACTGACACCCTACTTGTCCCTGTTCCTATGCAGCAGATGGCCATGTACAGGAACATGACACTGAGATGTGCTGCCCTGGAAAAGGTGATGAAGATGACAGCAACACTATGGGTGTAACAAGTATAACAATACACTTTAGTAAAGATAGGCGTCATAACGTCATACCTCTGTTTGCTCTGTTACAACAAAAACTTGTTAAATATATCCCTGTAACAAATTTCATTGACATTTATCTTCAACTTCTAACATTTCAATTCTTTCTTGTTAATGCACATTTCAGTAATGTATACTACTCCAGTGGATGATAACAATGAATCGGCTATGTCAGTGACCGATATCATGTGATATGTAAAGACATTGCCTTTAGCTCCTACACTACTCGCTTGAAAACAATGTCTAATTTCCATGCCTAGCTTATGATTGTAAATATAAGCAGTGTGTGAAATAAGGCCCATCTGCCCGCCCGAGACGGTCTAGATTTCTGACGGATGGTCTAAATTTACATTTAGCCAGCCCGATGGTCTGGTAAAAATATCAGATGTTCCATACATCCAAGCAAATTCACCACATTTGGTCTGGTTAAATCCTGATGTCTGGCTGGATTTTTGGCTTATGTCATACACTGATATAAGATAATTAATTAAAATAATATAGAATATATAATTATATATATATTTGTCAAAAATGATATTGGATTTTGTACACAGAAATGTCTTTTGTACAAACGGTACTAAATCAAAGTTCTTTATCAATTGCATTTCTCATTCATTAATTACAGTTGAGGTACAAATTTGTCAAAGCAATACCAAATGCATGTATCGTGGCCGTTGTATCTCCATGTCTAATGAATAGTACCAATATACCCACACAAGAGACAGACACAATCAGAAGGATGACGACATGTGCCAGGCACTACCTCCCATCAGTTGTTTGTTACACCCCACCCCTACATCGGAAGAAGATCATGATAGGGTTATGGTCAGACTTGTTTCATCACAGACTTCTTCAATCCAAGATGTGTGCACCACACACAATCGGTGTTAATGTCAGAATCCAAACACAAACAACACTTGAAGGAGAGTTGTTAGATACAAGCCATCATGTTAAAGTTGAAGGTCAGATTACACTCTAACGCAACAGCAATTTTCATTCCGGCCCTTCTTTCTTCTTGGATGGTGGTATAAGATGATCAGGGAGGTCCGATGGAAGGTCGTGGCCCTCCAACTTTATCTTTATCAAATGATTTGCCAATGCCCACTCGTCAGCATCTAGCATTCCGTCCTTGTCAACATCGGCTAACTTCCATACCTTACTCAACACAGAATTAGGTAGCTTGGATTTAACCATTTCACTTTTGGCAGCAGCACCAGTAATTTTTCCATTGACAGGGTTCAGTCTCTCGAATGCATCATCATATTCATACTTCTCATGACTGACGACCCATTCATGCTCGCCACGACCCTTGTCAATACCTTCTCCACGGCCAATCCCGAATGGACTCTCATTGTAGCCCTCAAATGCTCCACCTTTGACATTCCCAATGTCTGAGTTTTCCATCATTTCTTCGTGAGGCACCATCTGCATCAGCCGAGAGATGTCATTGGCCAGCATGTGGTCCACTGTTTCCACCAGTTTGGGTTTGAGGGCGTGGAACTTGGTGAAGTCATGGTGTTGGAGTTGTTCCTGCATGCGTTTGATGTCAGGGAAATCTCCAGGGGATATCTGGTACTCTCGCTGGAGGGTAGCAAACGTGTCTCCCAGTTTGTTGATGAGTTCCTTCTTCTTGGAATCCTTTCCAAACACTGATGGCATCTCTTTTCTCAACTGACTGATGATTGTAGCATGGACCTGCAACAACAAGGGAAGAATATACATGGTCTTTCATACAATCAGTCTGACTCTTTGGATCATTTTCAGTCTATATTAATGTTACTATACAAACTATTATTGGCTGTGCTTACAGGACAGAACAGAATTTTACTAGACTTCGGACGAGTGGTCAAAGTCCCAGACTGTACAATACAAAATACTTTAAAGCAACATGGGCTCCATGAGGATTCCAAGATAGAACACGTCTCAATTACCTATGGGAATGACCTGTTGCCTATGGCTCAACAACTGAAGGACTAATGGTCCAATACCCGAAGACCAATTACACATGGTCGGGTATCTAAAGGACCCATTACATACAGGTGGCCCTGTTAAGGAGAACTACCATAAAAGGGATTGACATGACACAGAAATCTTGCAATTTTTATGCAATCTGTGTTCAAAATACTTTCTATTTTGCTCTTGGGTCGATGTGATGCAATGGCAAGTCAATCTATTCTCATGTTAAGTCACTTGGACCCTTATTATATGTACATATGTATATGACTCCCATATTCAGAAGCAATCACTGAAATAAGCTGATCTCACTAGACCGTAAGACATTACTTCACTGGTGCTACAGCCAGTGGAAGAAGTTGGAGACTGCTGACTGAATGTTGCCGACTATGGCATACAGCAACATTCACTCAAAGTATCAGGAGCCGATTTCTGAAAACTTAAAGGACTTAAAATGAATTCTTTCCTGTGGCAGTTATTATATATATGCTTCACAGATATATCTTCATTTGTGAAATGTTGATAATTCCATCTGATCTGTATCACTGATGGAGGAGTCCACGCAAAGCTGGAGTTATCTCCCTTAGATCATGATTTGCTCCGCAATGTCAAGGGAACCTAAGTATTTCTATGACCTTGTAGTATGATATATGGTCTATAGTCACTGATCCCACTTACTGCCTGCTGGTATGACTGGATAATAAACTTCACATGACATTTCCTTCTGCAGTATGTCAATATGGCTGCCATGCAGGTCCATCTGTATCTCACCATTCCTGCTGGATGTGATTATTAAATAATTGATGTTGAATGTTTTCCTTAATACACTATAATACCTGAGATGGTACTCAAAGAAACTATAATATCTGAGGTTCAACAAGAATGAAAAACGTATTTTGCAGATCCTCAGAGTCTATAGCTCGTCCTACTTGAACATGACTAAATTGTTGACTGTGTTTACATTTTCTATCAGTTTTTATTGAGTTCTATTTCATAACATAACTGAAACACTGAGAATTGGTTCAGAACCATGGCCTTCAAATTCTACTAGTTGGAAAGGACTAAATTACTGTATTTGTAATTATCCTCAGTACAATTCTACTCCAGTTTCTCAGCTAAAAATGATTGACACTTATCATATCATAATCAAGGAAGATCCATGACCAAGGACAACGAGAGCATGATCTTGATGAGCCAGTCATTAACAAGACAGAATCAGCACTAGCCCACTCACCACCACTCTGTCTAGGCTTATCCTAAAGTGAAGCAGCATGTCCATCTTTTTCGGGTTTTCGTTACATCACAATTCAGAGAAATAATCATTTCAGAATAATCTACACCACAGGCAAATATTGTGAAAAAGATTATTATTTACCACCAGTGACAAATGTACTTTTACACAAGGAAGCTAGGAATGGGAAATGATTGTACTTGGAGTTCAGGAAATTGTATTATGAAGCACAATGGGTAGGAAGAGGCAAATATGCAAATCACAACTGATCATCATCAAACTCATGGTGAAATGACATTCACAGAGTTCAATGATGGCTCAAAGTACTACAGATAATGATGAAACTCCAGAATTTACGAAGAAGGTGCCAAACCCCTTTGTCTTTGGGACAATAAAATATGTTCTAAAAAGTATATCATCCTTCTTGATGGCACACTCAAATTTCAAGAAGAACACCCTGAATATTTCTACGAGGGCCCTGGAGCAGTTAATTATTTCCATCCTTACCTTGTTTCTAAAGCTTTTATGAACATGTTACCAAATTAATTGACAATACTTAAATGATGAAACATCACTGAAACTCAAACTTAGGCAATAATACACTTCATGTGTTAATTGAAAGCCTGTTGTTATTTTACTTGCTGTTGTGTTGTAGATCACCAAGAGGGTAATTTTCATACATGGAACAGATTGATGAGAGATTGTTTGACATCAACCAATGATTGACCTCCGGTACTGAAACACCATTCTATTCCTATGCTAATGTGGCGGCAGTCATGTGTCCAGTCTTGGAGAAAAACTCCATGTCTTTGTGAACAACTTGCATCACTTTCAAAGACACATTTTCTGTAATATAAACAAAAAAATACTGACTATCATGTAAACTTTTAACTACATAAAGATAAATTGTTGATTGGTCAAGCTCATCAGGGGGAACTAATTGAGGCAGATGTTCTATACAGTGAATGTGGTATATGTCACAACGCTGGTCATGAGATAGCCTCCCACATGTTGCAGCTGCATATCTGCTGATGTATATCATCAAGTGTCTGGTATCAGGCTATCAACTGCTGAGTTTATCATTCAGATTCACTGCATACATGGCCCACATACACATCAGCATCACAGCCCCTGTCTGCTGTCATCCGATACTTCGTGACTAACTGCAACTTGAAGCAGCGATCTGTTTCTCATTTCTATACCATATCAATATAACATAAAACAGTTACAACTGATTTTAACATGAATATCATTGTTCTTTAAAGTCGTACTTATCAAATTACAAGTTTGTCACTGTGGACTATATGCTGTCTAATTATGTCCATACAACCAATGGTTGACAATTCACGACATCATGGTACAATCTCTGTAAACAGATGTCATTTGCTGTGTGGGCTTTACTAAACCCTTCATTTGTCAATGTTATATATGTAGGAGGCTGGTCACAGTGACTGTGGTACCTGCAGTAGGTATCTAATCCATCAGTAAACCAGACTGTTTATCTCCACTGACATCAATGTAATCGCCCTGTATCTGTGTGTGCATGACAGACTGTGTAGATACCAGCCTTGTATATATACTGGTCAGCCACTGCCTGGCTATCTCTATGTAAATACTGGCCATGTGGATGGCATATCTAATTACAATCATTGATAGAAGAATTCCTCACCTTGTGTTCATTACTCAGTAGATACACATCTTTAACTTCAAAGACATTTGTAACAAAGCTCTTTCTGTTTGTGTCAAATAGCTATTTATCATTATATATCCTATTGCTCATTTTGTTCAATTACAGTCAAATTGGGGAAAATGATTCTAAATTCTGACTTCTTTTATCTGTTTTTGATAGTGACACGGACACATATCAAACTTACAGTAGAACTGATATTTTTCTGTAATTTCAAACACTTTCAAATTTCAAATACAACAACAAAGAACTTGAAGTAACCTCACTGTAGCCCTCCCAGCCTTGTACTGATATTATAGGAATACATGTATCAGGGTCACACAGAATATTATCCTGAATATTGGTATGACTGTGGAATAGTATAACCATGATAAATGATACTGTAATCTTCATAGTCACTCATTCATTTAATACAAACATGTATACCCAGGGCTCCAGATACATTTTCAACATCAGGAGTACGTACTCCTTACTTTTTCTATATAGGAGTACTGGAAAACCTTAAGAGTACATTTAGAGCACTGAATGGAATTTAATGGAGTATCAGTAGTCTTGTGTTTCGTTTCATATATGCACCACAATATTGCTAGTCCTGTGTAAACAGGTCAATAAACAATAAAACAATACTTTTTCAGATAAATACGTCTGTAAATGATTCTAAGACAGTACATCATTGCCGTGGTGCGTATCTGCTACGTTTTCTGAATTATTTCCTACCGTATCGTGCATATTTTTTATCCGTACATACACCGTTACTCCCCTTATCTGGAGCCCTGTATACCTTTCCCTGGTCAAATTGACATTTTTCCCCAGGACAAGTAATAATCATAACAGTTATGATCAACAGAAACATTTCCCCTTACAACAAACATGTTTATCTTGTTGCTATGGGAACATTCATCAACAGCAGGGTGACTAGCAACCATTTTCATTGTACCAGTACTATCACTATGATGAAATGCCAACATCAGCTCATCTGTGAAATTCACTCCAGTGCTTAGCCCCGCATACGTGACATTCTGCCTGACGTATACATGTATACACATACTGATGTATACGACTATATCCTATGATGTATACAGCTACGTATCACACCGAGATGAGGGAACAGGTCATGCATCACTCTGGGGAGTGGTGAGCAGTGCGTATTTCCTTTATCTGTCAGTATATGTAAATAGCAGGACATCTGACCAGCAAAGTGATGCCACGCCCTTCCTTGTATGTGTACATAGCTTGAACCCTGGTTTCGCCCTGTCTGTGTTAATCATCGGCACTGCACTCCATACACTGAGATACACCATATCATAGTGTGAACCGGTGGTTTCGTAAGAATGTAGTTTAATCTGATTTTCGTAATACCAGGAAATGTATGTTGTAGTTACATATCGTCCAGTGTAACAGCAGGACGTCCTGATCAGCAGGGCATGGAAATGTCAAGTGACCCTTCACAGCCAACAAGGACTTGTGTTTCCTCCATGACAGAGGTTGATCAGTTTTCAAAATCTTACTCAAATTTTATAGTTCCACGAATACTCCTGCTTGTAACATATCACTATCTGTTGAATCTTTCCCTTTACCATGAATAGCTGTGAATTCTCAGGTTTATGGTTTCCACTGTCTCTTCAAAACCACAAACCTAGAAGTTAAAGCAGTCTTGGTGTTACAAATTATTTCAAAAGTATTAACTGATAAGAATTAATCATGATTTTGATACTGTTTTATGATGAGTGGAACCTGTTGATGGAAAGGTTTAGCCACAGGCTGCCCCACACCCCAAAGTTGACACAGACAAACATGACGAGGCTTCTAGCCTGAATAGTAAAA